GGGGTTTAGAGATACAGGGGTTTAGAGATACAGGGGTTTAGAGATACAGGGGTTTAGAGATACTGGGGTTTAGAGATACAGGGGTTTAGAGATACAGGGGTTTAGAGATACTGGGGTTTAGAGATACAAGGTTTTAGAGATGCAGGGTTTATAGACACAGGAGTTTAGACTTGTACAAGATCTTACAGATACAAGGGTTTAAAGATACAGGGGTTTAGAGATACTGGGGTTTAGAGATACAGGGGTTTAGAGATACAGGGGTTTAGAGATACAGGGGTTTAGAGATACAGGAGATTAGACTTGTAACAGGGGTTTAGAGACACAGGGGTTTAGAGATACAGGGGTTTAGAGATACTGGGGTTTAGAGATACAAGGTTTTAGAGATACAGGGTTTATAGATACAGGAGTTTAGACTTGTAAATGAGCTTAGAGATGCAGGGGCTTAGAGATACAGGGTTTAAAAACACATAGTTTAGACATACAGGCTACAGCTAGGGGTTTAGAGATACAGAGGTTTAAAGATACAGAGGTTTAGAGATATAGGAGTGTTTAGAGATACAAGGGTTTAGAGGTACAGGAGTTTAGAGATACAGAGGGTTTAGACAAATTGATGGGGTTTACACACAAATGCGTTTTAAATATACAGGGGTTAGAGATATAGGGGTTAGAGATGCAGGGGATAGAAAAACAGGGGTTCAAGAAACGGGTGTTTAAAAATACAAAGGTTATACATAAAGGGGTTAAGCTACAAGGGGTAAAATATACATGAGTTAGAGGTCCAGGCGGTTAGAGATACAGGGGTTTAGGGATACAGGCAATTAATGATACAGGGAATAGGGATACAGAGGTTAAGAGATGTAGGGGTATTTAGATATAGTGACTTAGAGATGTAGGGGTTAAAGACACAGGAGTTTAAAGATACAGGGGTTTAGATATTCAGAGGTTTAGATATACAGTGGGTTTAGAGATACAGGGGGTTAAAGATACAAGGGTTTAGATATACAGAGGTTTAGATATACAGGGGTTTAGAGATACAGGGTTTAGATATACAGGGGTTTAGAGATACAGGGGTTTAGATATACAAAGGTTTAGATATACAGGGGTTTAGAGATACAGGGTTTAGATATACAGAGGTTTAGAGATACAGGGGTTTAGATATACAGGGGTTAGATATACAGGGGTTTAGAGATACAGGGTTTAAATATACAGGGGTTTAGAGATACAGGAATTAGATATACAGGGGTTTAGAGAAACATTGTTTAAAGATACAGGGTTTAGATATACAGGGGTTTAGAGATACAGGGGTTTAGAGATACAGGGGTTTAGAGATACAGGGTTAAGATATACAGGGGTTTTGAGATTCAGGGTTTAGATTCACAGAGGCTTATAAATTGATTTACTGGCTAAGAGATACAGCTAGGGGTTTATTGAGAATTGAGATAAAGTTTTTTTTGCTAATTTGCTGATTAATTATTGTTAATTTTATTAGTTTTATTATAAACGAGACACTTTTAGCATGATATTTTTATCATTAATTGGGAAAATGTATAATTTTGGATATCTATATACTTCTAAATATAGTTTACAATTGTATTGAAAATTTTAAATAAATGATCAATATTAAGACCAATATTGAACACCAATATTTGCCAAGCTTCCATATATATATATATATATTTTATAAATATCTAAATATTTATATTTTTCTTGGCGTTATGAAAAAGCGGGAAAATTTTGAACTTAAAAGTCTATATATAGATAGATACCTAAAAATTATAAATATTATAAAACATAGAAAGTTTTATGATTTCTTTTTTTAGGGGGGGGGGGGTGTTCGCACTCAAAAATATTCAATGTTTTTTCTATCGAATGTTCGTATCTTTTTAACAAGCACTTTTTAGGTGTAAGAACAAAGTAAATTTATTTCTGAATGAAATTTCGCTTCTATTCATTAGAGACGGGATGAAGTCGTCTTTAGTCATTAAACTTGCAAAGAAATTTTCTTCAGAAAAGCTCCTTTCTTGCAATATTTGAAGGGGAAGGGGGGGGGGGGGTGTTAATGCAAAAGAATATATGAAACCTTTTTCTACGAAAATGATATTAGATTTAAATTCTAAAATTCAAGAAAGGTTTTCAGAATTCATGGTTTAAAAGGATTTTTTGTTGTACATTAAAAAATCATATTTAAAATATCATATTTCTTAGCTGTCTAAATATCTATCCAGCCATCTATCCATCTATCTATCTATCTATCTATCTATCTATCTATCTATCTATCTATCTATCTATCTATCTATGTATCTATCTATCTATCTATGTATCTATCTATCTATCTATCTATCTATCTATCTATCTATCTATCTATCTATCTATCTATCTATCTATCTATCTATGTATCTATCTATCTATCTATCTATCTATCTCTATGTATAATGGTTAGGTGTAGATCTACCTTGTAATATAATAATAATAGTGTTCTCTAGACTCAGATTTATTGAGTTTTAATTTAGTCTTTAGTTCTTATACATCTTCTTACCCATGTTTCATTAACGTTGGAAATGAGGGGAGAGGGTAGGGTGTGGGGGTGAAAGTAGGGGGAGATGTCAAGTATGTTTTCCAAAAAGGCACATTGTTTTTTAAGAAGTAAAAAAATGGATTGAATGGTTTGTTAATAAAAGTTTTTTTCAGAGAAAAGAAATTAATAGATTTCCCAGTGAAATTTTTTATTGGAAAAAAAAACAAATTTTTAACATTCAGTTCACGAGTCCAAAGTCAGAAAAAAAGAAGATTTTCACATTTAAAAATTGGCATAGATTCAATTTTAGACTTTTTTTTGGTTACATTAAATATTTAATCCTTGGTTGATTCAATGTAAGAGCAAAAAGTGTTAAATAGATTAGTTTTTAATCTAGTTCAAGTCCAGGGGGGTTGAGTTACCGTGAAAAATGTAAAAAATGTCGGAATGTCGGTCCATCATGTGTCATGACAGACAGATAAACTTATACAGGAGGCACAAAAACAACCATGGACAGAATTTTATTCAAATTTTCTGTCGCTTAAATTTGTATTGATGGTGTTTTTATATTGTTCTATTAACACATCTAAACACTTTGCACCTCTATCTCTCAAAATTAAAATAACAATCCTAACTTTTTAGAAGTTTCGATTTATTTTTAATAATTAAAATTTTTTTTATAGATTTTCAAAAGATAATTATTTAAGAATTTTTTAAATTACGACCTGGTTAATTTGAACATTTAGTTCTGACCGGCCAACACTTTATCCTGGTCCTGGTTAATTTGAACATGTGGAGACCCTGGATTACCAGCTGATTCCCGGAAGCTCTGAAGACCAAACCAAACATATTTATTCAGTTCGTAAAATAGATGTTGTAAGTTAGAGACAAAATATATATCAGTCCGTTTATATCTTTGTTATTTTGCGTCGCTACAAACATTTAGTTCTGACCGGGCAACACTTTATCCTGGTCCTGGTTAATTTGAACATTTAGTTCTGAACACCCAACAATTTATCCTGTTCCTGGTAAATTTGAACATTTAGTTCTGACCAGCAAACAATTTATCCTGGTCCTGGTTAATTTGAACATTTAGTTCTGACTGGCCAGCAATTTATCCTGTTCCCGGTTAATTTGAACATTTAGTTCTGACCGGCCAACAATTTATCCTGGTCCTGGTTAATTTGAACATTTAGTTCTGACCGGCCAGCAATTTATCCTGGTCCTGGTTAATTTCTCTTGGATTTGAAACCAATGAACGTATTTTTGACTAAGGAGTTCAAGTAGTTGTAGAATGTTTAGAGTTCTATGGAATGCTATAAATTTGACAGTATAAGTCAAGTAAGATAAATGTTTATTGTCAAAACATCACGTGCGTTTAGGGCAGAGGGTAGATTTAGTTAGATTTCAGGGATTTTTTAGGGAAGATATCATCATCAATGATGTATTCTATCGGAGACTCATCATCAGCGGAAAGGAATTGACCTTAGATATTTCAAACTATGAACTTTGTTGCATCAAATTATGTTAGTTTGAAATATCAAAAGTCAACAACATTAGTTTCCGTAGATATAGGGATTAGAAAACTTGAGTTTGTGGAAAAGACTCAATTCCTTTAATCTTTTAGAAGAATATGATACCTTTTATTCATCGATCTCATTATGCAATAGTTTACATAATTACAGTTTTTGAAAAAATGATTTAATCAGATTTGTCTTATAACACTAAAATTAATAAAGTAAATTAAAACTGTCAGTGTAAAAGGGCACCTCCCATATACAAACATTTTTTTATTTGGGTTTGGTATGACTTTTCTATCATTCTATTTCTATTATTCTATTTCTATTATTCTATTTCTTTTATTCTATTTTATTATTTATTTTTAGATGATTAAAAATAAGTCAAGGGTAGGAACCATGGTAAAAAATAACATATTGGTATCAGTTATTTTATTTGGAATTAATCTTTTCACAATAAAATAAGAAATATTTCCAACTATTTCAGCGGAACATTCTGTAATTAAGTAAGTTCTAAATATTTTAATATATTACAAATTTCATTGTTTATTCTGTATTGTTAAAAGAAATTTTTTTGATATTTTTATTTTCATGAAAGTCGTCTTTTTTATTCTGAAATTTTTATGAAGTTTTAGATACTTTCTCTCTCTCGAGATTTTCTCTCTTTTGCTTTCCTGTTTACCATGGTATCACATTAGCTTATGTACGAGGTTCCTGTTTACCATGGTATCGCACATTAGCTTATGTACAGGGTGTCCTGTTTACCATGGTATCACATTAGCTTATGTACAGGGTTCCTGTTTACCATGGTATCACATTAGCTTATGTACAGGGTTCCTGTTTACCATGGTCGCACATTAGCTTATGTACAGGGTGTCCTGTTTACCATGGTATCACATTAGCTTATGTACAGGGTTCCTGTTTACCATGGTATCACATTAGCTTATGTACAGGGTTCCTGTTTACCATGGTATCACATTAGCTTATGTACAGGGTTCCTGTTTACCATGGTATCGCACATTAGCTTATGTACAGGGTGTCCTAATAAACATAGATTCAGTCTGCTCTGAAAAGTTTCATCAATTTTTAAGACAGTGTCGACTTTGAAGTGTCGGAACGCCTTGGGCTTTGATTTTACCGCTCTAACTCACTTATACTTTTTTGTAGCCCTAAACATTTACATGTTATACCATAAAAGTACATGTTTTCAGCTTTAGTTTTTAAGAGGTTATTGGCAAAATTCTCATTGATGTTTGTGTGAGAGCTTGCAACCTTTAAATCATAAACATATAAGAATTAAGTTCGTCTTTGCTAAGCATTACATAAATCCAATGGTCAAAATAAAGCTACGTCTGCTAAAGTACAGGGTTGCCCACAAAGGATGAGACTTCAGAAACAACAAAATTAATATTGAGTTTTTCCTTATATTCGGGATTCCCTGCCACTTGCAAACTTGTTTCTTTCTTTCTTTACCAAATTATTAATTAACCAATTTGAAGACTAATTACCAGTTTTGACGAGTTCCAAGTCGTCTTTACAGTCTTTTTCTTGTGGTTAACCCTGTAGGTAAACGGTATCAGGTACTGCACGTCAAACTAAAGTGAATTTGACTCAAATTTGAAATCTTTTATGTTTCCAACCATAACGTTTCTCCTTGATGAGCTATTGGAAAGAAAAAAATTAGTTTTTAATTTTTAATATGTAACCGTATAAATTTGCTTTTATCATACTTGTGAGTAAATCAAATTTAAAGGAACTACGAGGTTACAAAGCCCTACCACCAATGTCACATAAATTGTAATGTTTACAGTGACTGTTTTCTTATTCTGAAAAACGTTGTTTGATGATCTGTAATATATATTTCTGCAAGATGAAAAGTAAAAAAAAACGCAGTAATTTGCACTTTTATTTATTTCTTTTCAATTTCAACCTGATGCGGTTTAATCCTTTGATATTTCAAAAGTTGTCTGTTAGATATAGCAGAATTTAAATGTCTTAAATATCAAAGGTCCGCAACCGAATTTAATTACATGGAGAGGTCGCCCAACCACCGGTTCAAACCCTGATTCACTGATTTAAATCCTCATTAATCTTTAATTTTGGATCGGTTATTGAAGATTTGAACCGGAGGTAGGTAGCTAGTTCAGCGACCTCTCCAACTTCGTCCCAAATAAGGATGACAAAATTAGATTTGATGCAAGAATTATTTTCCTTTGTCTTCTGGCTATATCGTATACTAGATACAGTAATTGAACTCTGCAGGTACAACAATTAATTTTATATTTCAACATTTTAATCTTACATAAAATAATCTTAATCTTAATCGATTTTCTACATATCATATTAGGATAAATATTTACTTCACAATATTACATCTTTACATTTTGAACAAAAAAATATTTATATAAAATTTTACGTACTTTGTATTTGTATCCTAGAATCAAGAATAGATTTCATCCGTTTTAATTCAGACAACCTTTATTCCAATAATATTATATACACATGAACTTCTTTACAGGGTGACTACGGCAAACATTGTAAAAGTCTACATTGGCTGTTAGTTTATTGTTTTTAAAATGAAAACATCAGCAGCAGATTTTAAACAGTTTCAATATGCACTGTGAATGGTGCAACGGGCCAGTAAACTCATTATTTGATTCTGATTCTAACTAAACCCCCTAAAATTCGCGAATTCTCCCTTTAAATTTTCTTCTTTAAATTCAAGACTGTCAATGGTAATTTTTCTTTCTCTGTAAGTATTCTAAAAGAAAAACTAATTTAAACAACAGTGAATATAACTAATGGTACAACTGCAGTCTTAAATGAAAAAATTCAATTTGAAAAATTGCAGCACTTGATCTGTACCATCATATTTATCTCGTACAAAAAAAAAACAAGTGCTAAAAGTTCTACGCAAAATCAAATGCTAAAGCATTTCGACACTTTAAAGTTGATACTGTCTTGAAAAATTTATTCAACTTTTTACAGCAGTCTTGACCTTTGTGCTACATCTTACAGCATGATGATGTAAGATGTAACACAATCAATATTTATCTAAAATACTTCAACCAATAACATTAACTTGGTTGTTTATTTTGATAGGAAGCCTTACTACTGGGAAAAACATCTCATAACTGGTTTGTTTTTGTCTAAGCAAAAGGAGAAAGTAATCAACAATGTAAGGTTTGCTGGCAAAATACAGGTTGATCAGTGTCAACAGAAAACTTGTGATTACAGAACCAATGGGGAAGGGTTGGGCCTTGATCTGGAAATAGATAATGATAAGGGTTAAAGTCAGGGTGATTACACCAACCACCATTAGGGTCTTCAGAGAGAACATGTTCTTTGAAGGGTTGTTTTTCTCCGCTGTAGTGACCTGAACGCTGTGTTTTCTGTTTAAGTAGAGGTTGATGAAGGCGTAAGAGACGAATAGGATGATAATACCTAGGATCATGTGCATAACATGAATGATGAAGATCTTGTTGACTGTGTAAGAGGCTTGGTTTCCTGTTAGGAATGACTCCATTGGAGATATGTAACCTAAAGAAACAGGCATAAAAAATATTACTTTTCCATTGAATTCCTTTAACATAATTGATGACTAAAGAGGTTTTTGGGGGTTTGAAATTGACTTACCTGATTGGAGCTGATGGTATTGAAGAAGGACTATCTGGGGCAGGTAAAGGAGTGCGGTGAACATTAGAACCAGTTTAGAGCTTTTATCTGGATCATACCCAAAGAATCTTCCAAACTAAAGCAGTTAGGTCAATATTGTTTTTAACTTCAATTACTGTGGGTTAATAAAAACCATTTTAGATTTATCATGAGCTGAGATTTTAAAAGTTTAAACCTAAGTAAAACCCAGGTTTTGCGTTTATTTACGTCCAAGTAAGACAAAGTGAAGACTAAAGGTTATTCTAGTCTTGGTTTAAAGTAAAACCGGCTTAGTTGGGTTTATCCCTTCTTAGACTTGGTCAAATTAAAGCTGGAAATTACGTAAAATCTATTATACTTTTTTACATTCAAAATCTGCAGTGTCAAAATCGGCTACATTTATAAAATAAATGGAAATAATACTTAAGGTTTGAGTTTTTAAAATTTACACAAAGGAAAACTGAGATTCCATCAGCTGATCATGCAGACCCTGACCATATGCAGACACAGCTTTGAAAGCTTCTCTCACTTCGCAGTGGTTAAATCTATGCCAATCCGAATCCAGCCCAAAACACTGAACTTTTAAAATCTCAGCTCTGGTTTAAGGTTGAAATTATTGTTTTAAGATGGGGGGGGGGGGACCTTACTTATCAAGTGATAGAATAATTATGTTCCAAGTACAGAAAAAAATGTGCACCAAATCATTTTATAAACCCACTTTTATCCCATTTGGCTTATACATTAACAGAAACCAAACTCAGTGATTTTATGTTTTTGATTAATTAACCGATTATCCAAAATTATCCAACTGGGACAGTTCAACTGTCAGCCAGGTCCATTAAGCATGACCCCCCCCCCCAAAAAAAAAAAAAAAATTATGTTGGGATGAGGAAGGAAAACAATGTTCTTGCTGGAGATATAGAAATACTTAGATGGACAACAGCGTACACTCTAAGAAGAGCCATCTCTATGAAGAGTCCAACTGCTACAAGGTTACTGTAGTTTAAAATGAAACTGATAGAGTAAGCAAGGACCAGAGGTATATGAGAAATGAGGGAACAGTACATCATGAAACATCCCTACTCAAGTACAAGATGTATATGTACATAAAAAAGAAAAAGGTGTTCGCAATTTTTCATTGGCCAAAATTATTGTGGCATCTGATTAGTTTCCAGCAGACAAAATATTCAATTATTTAATCCTCATAGGATCCAAAAGTAATATATTTGTAAGATAAAAGGTAAGATGAATTACTGCTCATAAATAAAGAGCGGAGGCTCTTTAACCAGATAATAACAATAATTGCCACTCTGATGATAAATAATTACCCATTGCTCTACTTAAAAACAACAATATGATAAGTTTTTCCTTACTGAGTGAAAAAGAAAACTTTTTGTACCAGGGCGCATACAGGGGGCGGGGGAATGGGGACAGTGCCTCCCCTTGAACCTGTCAAGGGGGAGTCAGAGCTATCAGACTTTTAAATCTTAGACTGAAGAGTGAAAAACATAAAAAGATTGTTTCGTTGGAAGGAGGAATAAAGCAGTACTTGCAAGGTAATTGGCCTGATATCTGATATGCCAAATGTTTTGAATTTATAGATCGAATTTTGGAAGCAAAAAAAATGTTGCACTTCTCTCATATTTGGCCACCCTGGAATTATTTTTGTATATGCCCTGGTTTTTGTAGGAATTCATATCTAAGCAATATCTAATTCAGTCAAAAAGAATTAATAAGCGGTACATATTGTTGTAAAAAAGTACCATAAAGTGGACAAGCTGTAAGAAAGCTGCCAGGAGGTACTCAAGTTTGGCTAATTTGTACAATACTACGAGTATGCTACATGATAAAGGAGAAAGAATCAGGAATGTAGTCAATGGGTATATACAATAATAATAAAAATAATAAAAACAAAAACTATTTTGTGTTTACTAATTTTAATGGCTTTACTGAATTAATATTAACCCACCTGATAAAATAAGACTAAATTACCCCACTCCACTATGTAGTAGCTGATGAAAATGATCATATTGAGTTTAACGAGAGGGATGGAGTTCTTGTAGCTTCTAATCATGAAAGTGAACAGGTTGCTCAGCAGGACCAAGATCAATTCTATCAGGAACACTAAGAAAATAGGCTGAAATTTCTCCTTTTCAGAACTGGATGTGCTGTTGGATCTACTTCCTCTTATACTTGAGTTAAACCCACCCCATTCTTCACCATCTTGAGAAGACCATTTAGTATCATTATAAATTAAATTAAAATCAAGATCCACATAGTTTTTCCAAAGGTCTAGAGCTAAATTTGGGGTTATCATATTCTTATTTGATGACATGGCGGAGCTTTTGAGAAGAGGCTTTGAATCACCACCACTTATTATTAAACCCATGAGGATCACAATTTGTAGAACTTGCAGCTTAGGAGATATCAAAGAAAACATTACGTTGCTGAAGAATTTTTCTTTAAAGAGTTATAGTTGGGTTGGAGAGAATATAATTATGAAATCTTTTTTTAATTATAGTTAATGATCAAACAGCTGGTCAAAATATCCCGTTTTACAAATTTTGCTTTTGTTTGATCCTCAACCTTTGAAAGTTTTAGAATTAGTGATGTGTAATATCTACTGGCAGATCATTATACTTGTTATTATTATTGATTGGATTAAACAAGGCTCTCTGTATAAACCGGAGGCCAGATTTTTTTCCAGGAATAAGATAAATGCAGATTCTAAAAATGATTAAAAAATAAGTAATCCTAAACCTTACAAGGGAAATTTAATTTTTAAAGTAATATGAACAAGGTTTACTGTTCAAATTCATCAATAGAACATTGTTGATTCCAAAATCCCACTGATGACAGGAATCACATTTTGCTGTGCACTTCACAACAAGATATAGAATTCAATATTTGTGCAACTATTGGGTATTGTGATCTTTTAGTTTCTGTTGGAAAACATGTGTCCTTTTCTATTAGTGGAAACAATGTTTTCATTGACCTAACCAATAACATTGATTTGATTAGATTTTTGAAAAAAATTACTGAATTGAGCTGGAATTTGGACAATCGGTACAAGATATGACAAACTGCTCTCTTGTCTCTTGATTTTGGCCAGGAAGTATTCCGAGATGTGAGCTTTACTAGCATAATAAGAATTGGCTAAACATATGAACAGGCTTGTAAACACAGCACCAATTGGAAATGATTGCTGCTTTTGCTGGAAGTAGATTATAACCATTAGTATCGCGAAGCCCATGGAGCCCCCTGTCATTAATGTTTTCAGAGAGAACATGTTTTTCGAAGGGTTGTTCTTTTCTGCCATGGAGACCTCAATACTGTGTTTTCTGCTGAGGAAGAAGTTGATGAACACATAGGAGACGATCATGAACACCACACAAATGAACATGTGTGCAGCATGAAATATAGCTGTAGGGTTGATTGTAAGAGAAGCTGGTTTACCAGTTAGAAATGAGTTCATTGGTGACACATAACCTAAACATAAAATAAAATATTAATAAGTAAAATGGTATTTTTTTCTTAAGATAAAATTTCAATGTGTAGAATTGTATTTTTATCTTAGCTAAAAGACGGCTATCTTAATTCAGGAAGGGGAAATATAAGTGAGGTTGGTTTACATCAGAATTCTGAATTTTTGAGAGAGCTAATTTGCACCTTTTCTGTGATTCCTTGCATATCAAAATTTTCAGCAAAATTGTGTGGTGTGGATTAGTGGAATAATATTATATAATAATAATATATGGAGTATAACAAACTCTGAAACAATATTTTTACAAAAAAATGAAAATGAGCTCTCGAGTCTTGAGTCCTGTGCAAATATATACTTTATATTTAATGAACTGCACTGGAACTTAGCTACCTGGCTGTGTGTATTAGCCTGAGTGTACGATTAAGACAGCTTACTGATATAGGATATTAAGAGATTATGGCCTATACAATATACATACAGTACAAACATAAAATATGTGGTATGCTTTCCGAATATAATACAAGTTTATGGAGGTTTTGTATCATAAAGTTTACATAGTTTTCTTAGAACCTTTAATGAACAGTTAGGTATTGCATGAGTCAGCTTAAGGGGGGGGGGGGCGCCCATCCCCTAGAAAATAAGGGGACGTCCACTTCACTGGAAAACTGAGGGGAGTCCTGTCATTATAAAATGAGTAGCCTAAGAAGAGAGAGCAGGCAAATTAAAGCCATTAAATTCAGATTTTGAAAATAGATTAAAAATTTCTTAGATATTGATTCTTTTGAAAAATCATCAAAATTATTAAATTCTCACTGAAAAATGTATTTTTGTGCAATTGAGGTTTTGTGAATATATGGACACAGAAACTGGGATTTAAAAGTTGAGTTTAAGTCGAGTTTATGCACCCAGATTTCAACCAGTTGGTGACTTAGTAATAACTGGGTTTTAAAAAGTTGAGTTTAAGTCAAGTTTATGCATCCAGATTTCATACAGTTAATGACTGGAGTTTAACAGTGGAGTTTAAGTTGAGTTAAAGTGGAGTTCTGAAGTGGATAGTTTTCACTCTGACTTGGTAAAAACTGGGACTCAAAAAGTCGAGTTTAAGTCGAGTTTATGCACCCAGATTTCAACCAGTTGGTGACTTGAGATAAAAACCGTAGTACAACTGAATTAACCTGAACTGATCTTCTCAGATAGAAACCATAGTACAACTGAATCATTAACCTGAGCTGATCTGCTGAGATAGAAACCATAGTATAACAGGAAGGTAGAGTATTGATGTCAGGACAACAATAAGTTTGGAACTTGAACTTGGGTCAAATCCAAAGAACCGCCCAAACTAAAAACATAATATGATTAAGAATGACATGAGTTCAAAACTATTTATCTAACCACATGTGAGATGTGAGCAATGTTTTTGGACCCATAGATCCACATCATGTGTTGTATACAAAATTACTTCTAAGTCTATAATAATAACTAGATAAATGTCTGGAATTGCTCATATAATTTTAAGAACACTTTTTCCAAATTTTATGTAACCCCCAAGGTACCCATGGGGTTCCTCAAAAAATATCATTCAATTTGTTTCAGCATTTTGGCCAGCTATAGCTAACATATATATGAACGAAGAGCTTTAGTATATAGAAGATATTCTGCAGCATGGCAGAATTATGTGACTGAACCTTCTGCTGGTTCAAATTTAAATCACCGATTCAAGGTCAGATGAGGGCAGGATTTAAATTGGTGATTAAAATTTGAACTGGCGCGGGGGTAGGCAGTTCAAATTCATTAAATTTGGTCGCGATCCTTATGCATGCAGTCTCGTCCTATCTTAAGCAATTTTAGATGAAGAACAGTCTCCACATAACAATAATACTACTTATTAAAGCAGAAGTGATAGCATTGAGAGCCTACTGGCATTAATCTAAATGAACTGGGTTTCATGGCACCAGTGAAAAAAAAAACCTATTGAAAGAACAGTGATAGTTTTTATAGAGAATCAGAAAGAATGGGAAAAAGAAAAATGATTTCTAGCTGAAAAATGAAAATGTAAAACACATACTCATTTTTTCTGTTTCCACTCAACACCCTTTTGGCTACCACTTGTACCCAAAGGCCAATTTTTTGTTCTTTAATTTTTAAATATATTTTTAAATGGCCTAATCTTTTTATCCTTTATTAAATTTACTTACACTAACTACTGCATAAACCCTAAAGGCAGCAATCTGAATGTAGAGTCCGGTTCCAATGAGTCCTGCGTTGTCAAGGAGAAAGCTAACTGAATATGCCATGAACATTGGGAGATGGGAAACAAGAGAACAATACATCATACAACATCCCTAAAGTAAAAATTTTGATACTTTGTAAACTTGAGCTGAAAATAACTTGAGTTTTTGCCACAAACTCTGATTTTCTAGTTCCTGTATCTTTGTAACCCAATGTTGTAGGCCTTAGATGTTAAAAACTTTGAATTATGTTGCATCAAATAATCTTAGTTTAAAATATTAAAGGTTTTAAAGATAATGGGATTAGTTTGAGTTTCTGGCAAAAAACTCCTTTAGTGTAAAATATCTGGCTGCGCCTTGGAATTCAGCAGTTGAACTTGATTTCCAGAGGACAAATTTGAAACTTAAGATTTAAATGATATCTCTAATGATATCTAGAGCCTTAAAGTCTTAAATCTGGGAATCTAAAGATAGATCAGATCAAATTTTCTACAGTTTAGATGTTCAGATGTGCATCCAGATTTAAGGTTACTAATAAAGCACCACCAATTCCAAGTTACTTTCAGTCGTAAATTTAAGAGTCATCAAATTCCTTATTAAGAATAAATAAGGACCAAATTATCAATCAAAGGACAAAAGCATCTGGATGTAGTTAAATTCTGTGAAATATGTATTATAAATCCACCAAGAAATAAATAAAAATTGGTGTTTTGGTTTAAGTTGTTGGAAGGAAAAGAAACAATTTGAGCACTAAAGCTTAAAATTTGGGATTTGAAAGTTTTGAACGCCATACCTGGCAAATCAGAACAAAGTTACCCAGCTCCACCACGTAATAACTAATAAGAATGATCATATTGAGTTTAACGAGAGGGATGGAGTTCTTGTAGCTTCTAATCATGAGTGTGGAGAGGTTGCTAAACAGGACCAAGATCAATTCTATCAGAAACACTGAGAACATTGGCTGAAATTTAGTTTTCTTCTCCCCAGAACCAGATGTGCTATTTTTCATTTTAATATAATCCAAATCTGCAGTTTTAACGTCTAGTCCTTCTGTGATTATGTCAACTAAAGCTGTGACATTTCTAACATTTTCTGCAAGTTCTTTAAGAGTATCTTTTGATTCTTCAGTTTGTTCTGCCACCCTGAAGACCTGTTTCTGATCACTAGACATGATTTCTCCCCAGAAGAACATCACTAACATTAGTATCTGAAGTTTAGGTTTAAGAAGACACAGAAGAATCATTGCTACTCCCAAGCAAAGGGTTAGAGATACACTGCTCCTCATTTGGTTCCAGGTAGGTTTTTTCCATCTTCTTCAAATAATCTAGGAGTATTGAAACAAAAAAAAATAGTGAATCTTAAATTCAGTCAAGCCAACCTTTTTTACCAGAATGCTAGGGTTTCTATAAAAATAAAGTTGTAATCTCTGTTTATCTGTCTGTTTGTTTGTCTGATCATAACTCAGGAACCCCTTGACTAATTTGTTTAAAATTGGGGAACTCGGGAGACCAAAGGAAATGGTCTTACCTTATTTTTAAGATTCTAAGTTGAGTGGGTCCACTTTTAACGGGAAAATAGATAAAATCGAAATTTACAACAAAATGTGGGTAAATAGCGGGAGTAACTATAAACTAGTCATTTATATCAGGTTTAAAAGTTGAAACATTTTATTTAAGGATTTCATTTCTGAATGATTTAAATTTTACTTTGTAAGAAACACTATTAATAGCAAATATATTTCATTGGAGCTTTATCTCATCCAAATGACACTTCACGCCTTTTTTATTGTATCTTTGCTTAAACCATGGTTTAGATGGTGTTAGGTATTTCCACAAAGGTTAGTTAGGGAAAGTACCCAACATTGTTTAGATATCTCTATATATTTCTATACTCTTAACTCTTACAGATTCACATTAAAAGTATTTTTAATATGCATTCGTACAATTTCTTTTACGTCTTTTATTTAAGTGCTCTCACTAATGGAATATTAGATTTGGGAGAAAAATTACTCTATCTTGCTTGGACTCATATATACTTTTCTCTTAAAAAAGCTTAATATTTATATTATATTCTTTTAGTTCTTCATTATCTATATACTTGTCATAATTTCAAAGATCTTGACATATTTTGCTCAGTAAATCTTAGTTAGTTAGATTTTATGATTTGACACTAAAACTTTGGTTCATTTGAAGTACCAGTCTAACTAAATGGCAGCTAGAGGTTAAGGCCATGTGAATTAGTATACATACATGCACACAGCATTGGTTAACTGGTTCATTGGTTAGGTTGGTTCGTTGGTCAGGTTGGTTCAATTGTTAGGCTCCTCAACTCAGACACAGTAGTATCCAATAATCATTAAGTAGATTTATTTCAAACCTGTAGTAAACTACAGGCATTAAACATGAATAACAATATTTTAATGTAGTTAAAATATTAGATAAAATAGCTTACTAGTTATTATATTAAACATGAATGACAATATTTTAATGTAGTTAAATGTTTGATAAAGTAGCTTACTAATATTTTGTGTCGGAGTGAAAGGTTTTGTGGTGTAGTTTAAAACATTTGTAATACTTCTAAAAATATATACCCGATTGCTTACATGGAATTTACTATGGATTGCAAAGTTATTTGTAGATTTGATTTTTCACATGGTAAAACGTTTCACTGTTTTGATTTTCCGATAACATAGTAAAGAGGTAGAGTCGGCAAAAGAGTTTGGTTTGGACTTGGGCTGGTAAAGACAACATTTCTATGAAAAATTAGATATATGGTCTGCAGTGTGGGGTGGTGGGGTTCGAGGATGAAAGGATTGAATACGGGAATAAAGGTAAACATAAATCATGAAGTTGAGGGGAAAAATCGATATGAGGGTAAAGAGGAATATGGGATTGATTGATTGAATGGGAAATGAGTGAATAGGAGTATATGTTACCGTACATGTATAAATTAACATTACTATTTAAACTAAAATATAATAATTGTAGCACATTGATTTGTCAGGCATAAGTTGTCATTTAATAATGATAGAATTCTTGGTAATTTGAGGCTTGAGGCTGGATAAATGATTAAAATAAATAAGAATAAATTGAATTTGTTGTATTGTTGGAAAAGAAACAAAATCAATTAAAAAATAAAATGAATAAAATAAAATTGAAATTGACATATTAGGCAACATTACGCTCATTTTGGCATTGGTAATTAAGAATGAAATTTGCCGTGCATATATTTTTGAACTCATGGTTTAAATGTGATCTCTGATTAATCTGAGGGTAGTCTTAAGGATGAATTCCAGTGGGCTCTGAGGTTAACAATTTCTCTCCCTCTTTTATTTATTTTAGAATTAAGTAAATAAATATAAATTGTTGATTTAAATGAAGGATAAAATTTTTAAAATTGAGATAAGTTTTAAGGAATGAAATGCTTGAAATTGTATTTTAAATTCAAATCTCATGTATAAATTTTAATTTTGATAATTCATATGGAAAATTTTGTTTTCCTTGGAAAATTAGAAAATTAGAAAATATTTATGAATGGAAACCCGTTAACCTGAATTTAGGTGAGGTATTGCTCGTTGTCGGAGAATTCTGCAGTGCAGATTTCGTCTTTGAGCTGCTCCGTACTGAGTTCCTGCTTCCAGGGCTAAGATCTCCACTGCTATATCTTCTTTGATGTCACGAATTTGCTCCCAATGAAGGGGTACAGATGGAAGCTGAATGTAGCCCCAAATATGTCTCCCTCCGTTCTTTCTAAGATGAAGGTCTTGAACCCTGGCAGCTGAGATTTCATGTCGGTATTTTTAAGAGGAAAATATTTCCTCTCGAGGTTTGAGGATGGCCTGGATCTGGGTCAGTTGGAGGACCAGATTGGTTGGAGGATCTGGTTCAATAGAAGGATCTGGTTCGATTGGAGGATTAGGTGCGGTTAGAGGATCTGGTTTGGTTGAAGGATCTGGCTTGGTGAGGAGTCAGGTTTTTTTGGAGGGTTTGGTTTGGGAGAAGGATTGGGCTCAATTGGGGTGTAAGGTGGGGTTGTAGGGCCAGGTGAAGTTGGAGGATCAGGTTTTAATGGAGGATCTGGCTTGATAGGAGGATCTGGATTTGCTGGAGGATCTGGTTTGGTTGAAGAGTCTAGATTGGAATTAAATGATTTGATTCGAATGGTTTGATTGGTTTGATTTTAGGAGCTGGTTTTGTTGGATGATTTAGTTTGGTTGAAGAATCTGGATTGTTTGGAGGATCTGGTTCAGTTGACGGACCTGGCTTGGTTGCAGAATCATGTTTGGTTGAAGGGTCTGGTTCAGTTCAGGTTTAGGTTCGGTAGACGGATTTGTTTTAGAAGGATCCAGTTTGGTTGAAAGTTCTGGATTGGTTAAAGGATTTGGTTTGGTTGAAGGATCTGGATTGTTTGTTGAAGGATTTGGTTTGGTTGGATGATCTGGTTCAGTTGAAGGATTTGGTTTGGTTGGAGGATCTGGATTGTTTGTTGAAGGATTTGGTTTGGTTGAAGGATCTGGATTGTTTGTTGAAGGATTTGGATTGGTTGGAGGATCTGGTTCAGTTGAAGAATCATGAATCCCCGTGATTTATTGAAGAGTTGGAATCTAGGAACCGGGTTGTCTGAGAGAAAAAGTCGTCTTTGTATGAATGTGTTAATTTGTTAAATAATGTTTAAACATGAATAACGTTAATTTCTTGCTAATTCTAAAATCAAAAGTTTTTAGATTTTTTCAAATGATGACTGACACATGCAGATATCATTGAAATATGATAATTTTAGATTTTATTGGGGAAAATGTTTAAATAGTGTCTTTGCAAAGGTATCATACCTTTTCACACAAATTCTAAACGATTAATCGGCTTTTTCTCCGGTCATAGATATCTATGAAAAGAAAAACTAATACCAATGAATAGCTAATAGGCTAATTAGTTTACCTTAAAATTACCCAAATAAGTGAACGGTCCCTTTAACAGATTCCATAGTGTAAGAAAAGACGAGCTTCACAATAGAAATTCAATTTTAACCCCCCTCCCCCCATCCGAGCTTTAGTTAAACTAGTACACTACCTTTAAACTAATGCAGTTCAATCCTTGCATGATTATTGATTAGATTTTTCGCACCTGGAGATTACAGATCGCATGGTGGTGGGGGGGGGGGGGTGGGGTTAAGGGTTAAAGGTGAGAAATATGTTTGGGTTTAAGGGGGTGGCGCGAAGGCCTAGGTTAAGGGGTTATAATCTACAGGGTGTCTTAGTAAACAGGCTATCTTAGCATGGAATGTCACTTGAAATTACGCGTACAGTCCCTTTTAGTAAATATTATCAAGTGAATATATTCATCGAATTAGAACTTGGAAGGATGAATCAGTAATTCGGAATTAAGCTTAATCATTGCGAACCGTCCATAACATTGATATCTATTCTTAGTTTTGAGTTACAGACAATAAGAACAAGGACAAGAACAAGAACAAGAGCAAGACTAAGAACAAGAACATGAACAAGAACAAGAACAAGAACAAGAATAAGAACAAGAACAAGAACAAGAAAAAGAACAAGAACAAGAACAAGACCGGGAAAAGAAGTAAGATAATCATGAAGCTGGCCCTTCTTCCCTCGTTCGGTTTAAAGAGCTTTTTTCATAAATAATTTGAGATTGAAAAAAATATGGCTCCATCCCTTGTCCTCCTACCCTCGTTTGGTGAAAAAGAGTTTTTTTTGCATAGTACGTGTTTAAAGTTAATTGATCTAAATAGAATCAATTATTCATAACATTTCAGATTAGAAGCATGGTATAGGAATAACAACTTAATCTCAACATCAAGTAGAAACTAGAATTACATTTAATAAGGATTTACGGGACGAATTTTCGACTTTGTAACTACGCAGTCCATGGCCAGATCTAAGTACAATAGATAAATAGATATGAAATAAATATTACAAAAAAAACATACCTCTCACTTTACAGTAGTATCAAGAAAACAGAGGAATCAACGCTTTAAAAAAAATAAATATAAAAAATATAACATGATATATTTTTAAATGAATCCTGGGCCGGACAGAATTGAATAATTAGATGTTAAAATCATCCTTATCGACATTATGTTCACAAAATAAACTACCAAAGACGACTAGAATTCCAATAATGTCTAGTTTCCATGTACTATAAACATATGTGAATGATTAATTTCGTTTTAGCAGTATTTTCAAAATAGGGACGGACAAGTGATAAAAATACGAATTTGTGAAAAAAAAACATATTTTGAAGAGCATCTATAATTATTTAAGAAGGAAGTTGTTTAAATGTGTTGTGTTTCACAGTTCAAGTTGGATAGTTCTATATAGGGGAAAAAATAAAAAAGAAAAATGTAAGAAACCTAATATTTAAAGGAATGGAAAAAACAACAAGGAAAAGATAGATCAGAAAACATATTGAAGAACGTAACAAATGGAAAATATGGAACGTGTCTGGACTGTAAACGTTATTTTAAGTGACCCGGTCCATGCAGAGATGGCAATGTCCGATTTACAACGGTACCCGTAAAAGCTTTGTCTGATAAAGTATGAATTATCAATGTTTTTGTTTCTCTAAATTGTTTACCTTTAGTTGCGGTTTCTCTGCGAAATTGACTTGCGCATTTTTGCTTTCAGAAAAGGAGAAACTTAATGAATTAAACACTTTTCGAGTCAGAAAAACGATTTACCATTATTTATCCCAGTAAGGTTATGCAGGTGCTGGTCACTTAAAATTATGCTTACATGTCCTAAATGCCCTACTCCATAAACTGCTCTCAAATTCGTATATGTCCAGGTACAACTCACAAACTATCAATACCAAACCAATGGGCACGATCTCATAGGCTTCAATGTCAACCAGACATAAGCACATAAACTATCAATGTAAAATGAATAGACACAATCTCATAGGCTTCAATGTCAACCAGACATAAGCACATAAACTATCAATGTAAAATTAATAGACACAATCTCGTATCTTGTTCGTTTCGACGAGGAACGAATTACTCTCTCACTGTATTCAAAGCAGAGTATTTTCCAACTGAGGTGTATTTACAATGATATGTTTAGTTAATATACGTGTTTACCAGATTTACAATGATATGTTTAGTTAATATACGTGTTTACCAGATTTGCACAAATATATATTATCTTAGTTAAGCTCATCACAAGACGTAGCTAACCTAATAACATTAGAAGTTTTGCGTATTTCAGGATAAACGCATTTAGTTTTATAGACATTGTACAACGTAATTTATTTAGGTATGTTCAAATGTATAGTGATATGATCAGGCACTGTATTTATTACATACATTCTCTTTAAGTATATAGGAATATTAGATAGGTAGCTAGCTAAGTAGATTGGTGGTAAATTGGTAAGTATAGTATAGGTAGAAAGGTAGGTAAGTGTGTAGAGGTAAGTTATAGGTAGGTAGGTAAGTGATAGGCAGGTAGGTAAGTAGGTAGGTAGGTAACTATAGCCACTAGGCAAGTAGGTGATAGGTAATTAGGTGGTAGTTGTTAGGTAAAACGAATATATCACATTGTAAAGTTTGAAATTGTTAAAGATCCTGTGAAACACAGAACGGAAGACGTCTGTCACTATCAAATAAAACGAAGGGGGGAGGGAAAGTCTAAGCTTTTTTGAAATAACAGTTTTTGCGTCCAAAAACTTTACTTTGCTGCAATTATATATAAAATCTAGCTTGCTCATTCAAAAAGTTGCAAAATGTTGCCCTTTAATTATCAATATTAAGCAAACACTTAAAACTGAAGAAAGACGTAAATCTAGGGTTACGTATAAATGATGAGACTTTAAAGACAATCTGAAAATCTTTAAAGGGAGTGTTCGCGAAAAATGAAAGAGGTTTTGGGCTTACGGCGAAAAATAAGTGCTTTTGATCATACTTCAATATGATGCGTCTATAAGGAGAAAATTGTTAAAAGCGACTCATGCTGAAGAGCGTGGCGTCCATACAAATTCAGAAAGTTGCAACATTCAACTCGGATCGTAAAATAATCAATTTAATTCCAAACAAATAATTCAGATATTACAAAGAGTAGTCATTGATTATTTTGCGACGCATTCGGATATACTAAATATTTCATAATATTTTTGATTTTGTTTTTTTTGAATAATATTTTGCTTGCTCTGGATTTTCGAACATTCCTGGAAAATATGAAAATGTCGTCTTCGTTATCAAAAATCCTCGAAACAGGAATAAAAGTTTTCAAAACTATATACGAATGCGTCGAAAATTTATTGATGATTATTTGTTGTATTATTTGAATGATTTGTTTGATTAAATTGATTTTTTTACGATCCGAGTCATGAATGCAGCAACTTTCTGAATTTGTATTGATGCTACGTTCTTCGGTGTGAGTCGTTTTTAACAATTTTTTCCTTATAGACGCAACAGATAGAAGTAAGATTAGCAGCGATCGAAAGCGCTTATTTTTCGCCGTAAGCCTATACCCCCTTTCATTTTTTTGCGAACACTCTCTTTACTATGAAGATCTGAAGGTTAAAGTTTCCTTCTTGTTCCTATCTTGAATATAGTTGGTGAATGGTATATTCAATGATTTAGCAGTGAATAAATAAGCTTAAGGCTGTAGGGAACATTCATTTAATAAACAAAGACCCAAAAAATCTGACTTTCGTCTCTTAGGTCTCATCCTTGTGGACAATGATGTAATATAGTATGACTGGTTCATGATTCGTGTTAAAACATTAGTTAATTTAATATGCAGTTTTAAGTATGTGTAAATGCTGTTCATCTATTATATCATCTGATCATGACGACTTAAAATGATTGAGTAATTAGTATCATGTTTGTATCTATTTTAGGTATATAAAAAACATGTTATATATCCCTAACATTCTGTTCAGAATTTTGAACAGAATTTTATGGGTCTTAAATGACACCCTGCATTGGAGGGAGCAAGCTGAATTGATGAATTGATGAATTGATGATTTGATGAATGGATGAATTTATGAACTGGTGAACGGATGAATTGATGAATTGATGATTTGATGAATTGATGAATTTATGAACTGGTGAACGGATGAATTGATGAATTGATAAAAGGATGAATTGGTGAAAGAATGAATTGATGAATTGATGAATTGATAAGTTGATGAATTGATAAATTGATGAATTGATGAATTGATGAATTTATAGGTTCGAGGAAGTCCCCTGACCCCACTACTTAATAAAAGTCTAGCGTATGGGAAAATAAATGTGTACTCAGGTAGCGAATTAAATCCAAGAATTTGAATCTTTCAGAGAATTTCTTATCCCTATATCTTTAGAACCTGATGGTGTATACCTTGAATATTTAAAACTTATACTATTTTATCTAACAGAGTGCATAGTTTGAAATATCAAATGTTTATGACGTTAGGTTTCAAAAATATAAGGGTTAGAAATCAGGGATGGTTGCAAAAACTCAGTCCTTTTAAGAATATTTTTGGTTATTATCAAGTCCACTCTTTATATTAGAATATAATCCCTCTAGTCTCCACGAGAAGACGTTTAATGCAACAATATCACTCTCAAATCATATATATATATAATCTATCTAGTCTCCACGAGAAGACGTTTAATGCAACAATATCACTCTCAAATCTGGACAAAATAATAACTTTCTCATGAAAAAATATAATCCCTTTTCCGATCTTAGAATATTCAACTCAAGGCATTTCAAAACTGAAAATTTTCCATCATTGAACGTGAAAATGTCATGTTTTACAACATTTCAAAATGGTATTAACAACTATATGGCTATATTTTTCAAACATTTTGTGGTTCCAACCTTCTTGAGAAGAAAATTTCTTAGTCGAACATTAAAATATTTATAAATGTTAAATCTATGAAATTTTCTATCTTTGAAATGTTCAAGCGTTGAAATCTTGATATTAAAATTTACTGCTTATGTTTGAAATGTTTAAGATATTAAATCTCCTATCTAAGAAACGTTCAATCTATAGAGAAATGTCAAACCTGTGAAATGTTCAACGTACGAAATATTTCAAAATTAGATGTCATAATATATTTAATGTCTTAATGAAGAAGTATCCTATCCCTAAATGTCCATTTATGAAATATATTGATTATGAATTATCCTATCTACAAATACAATGTTTTTTTTTAAAATGCTTAAAGTTAAAAAATAACTATTCTTCGTTAACAATAAATCGCACAGTTATAGAAGATGAATGAGCCCACAAAGTAAAAATATCTTTTTCATTCAAAGCTTAAAAGAAAAGATTTAAGACAGAGGATTAGGAGTACTGTGTCTTTTTTATTAAACTACGCGACGTGTACATTCTGTAAATATGTACACCCTTATATACTTTAAAGGAACATTATTTTAACAAGGTGCTAATGCAAGGAAAGTTATTGCAGTTGCGTATACACACTGCGTACATATTGAAACCAGTTCTCTCTGGGCGGACTTTGTAAAAAAGAATAGATGCATCAGTGTTCGTTTAGTATCCGTGGAGGAAAAAAGCTTTTAATTTTGATAATTTTGATAATTCACATAATAGTTTCTTATGACCAGAATATTTCATAGATTATTTTATTTTTGTGAAAATGGATTCCATGTCAGGCTGTGACATCCGTCTTGTGTTTACTTTTTCGCCCGAAGACAGTGCACTGCAGTGCAAAAAAATGTGTACACCTCTGAAATAACTTTCCTTGCATTAGTACCTTGTATTTGATTATCTTTCCGTGCAGTATTATAGAAGAGGTTGAAACATAAACAATTTTAGTATTCCACTCAAGCACGTGCATAGTAAATATAACTATATATTTTGACAGGGCCAAGAAAAAAAACACATTTATTTAAGTGTATAAAAAGTGATATCTCACATTTAAAGTATTCTACGAAAACTGTTATTAAGAAAGACTATAATTGTTTTTTTCTCTGCTTCTCATAGTTTTTAAATGTGAGTAAAATTCACTTTTAAACATCTTCCCC